GAGGTATTCGATAAGGAATGAGTGCGTGAAATCTGGCTCTTTGATGAACGTTCGCATCTTAAAGAGACTTTCGTCGAAAACTGAAGCAGTTCTTAGATCTAATGCTTACTTTATCAAATATAATTTAACCCTGATTTCTAACCCATGGAGTTTGTATGCGACTAAATTTTTCAAACAGCAAGAACTTTCGAAATGTCCACTCTGTACTATCAAACGTTATGTAACGTAACGTTGGTTACAACAAAAAAAAAAGTTGTACCGTTACAAACGCTCAAATTTTTGCCTTTTCAGTTTGTGAAGAATCGGGATTTTTGAAATCTAAATCGAGACTTCTCAATCGAAAGCACCCATAGCTTGTTAAGTTCTTTTGGTTGTTCATTCCATGATTTCTGTAACGTGCGTAACACTGAACATGAAATATCATAGCTAAAATACCTTCACATGTCAGTTATTGATTAAACAATCCCAGATCCTCATAAACTTAAGAATGGAAACCATGCAGCTTTTGCACTTGATGAAACTTTTTCAGTAGTATTTTTGCAGAAATTTGTAAGTTAGTATTGAGATATAGGTTTGCAAATACTTCTCATCTCTTTCCTTATTTTCATGCCATTTGAATTTTTTTCCCTACACGACTAAGTTAAATGTAAAAATATCTCTCATTCACAAGCGATGCAAATTTTCTTACAAAATTAAACCAACTGCAAACCTCCAACCTGGCTGCCACTGAAGCTTGATTTTCTGGGCTTAATTGAGTTCTCAGACCAGCGCATGCACTTGAACGGTAGGTCACGCGCAAGAATTCTCGCTGAGAACCTGCTTCTATGGTTACTGAGTTAAAAAGCCTGAAGGAAAAACGTGAAATGCTATCGTCAAATCACAAATTGATTGAGTCCATCTCACTTAACTTTATGTTACTCCATTCTCTCCACGCCGCTCATGTTTAACCTAATATTGATACTATATTGAATAAGAGGTAAGTTTCTATAGAAATCTTGTGGTGCCTCGTCGGTTGGGGAGTATAACAAGAATATTTTGGTTTTATCAACTCGGTTTCTAAAACCAAATTGTCCTATTGATACTATTTGCGCGTGAAGGACTCAAATACTTTAAATTAAAAAAAAATAAATCTAGTTCAATGCTCAATAGATTCTTCAGTGCAGCGTGAGCCGCGTGAACGACCCTTAACCCTTTCAGTGCCAAGATCTCAGTATCAAATCTTCTGGCTGTCTGCCATACAATTCTTATAGTTTTATTTTGTAGAATGGTGTATGGAATTGGATCAACTTATAATCCCCTGACTGGTGTTTTTCTTTTTTTCTCATCACCTTTCTGTTTGATGTAGTATTGATATTGTGAGCAGAAATTCTGTTTTGATAACCTATAAGAGTTAAAGAATCCATGCCGTTAGACTGCAAGAAAAAAAAAATGGTCATTACGCCTAAAACTTGAATTTTAACAATTGGTCTTAAAAAATGCCTAATCGCAAAAATTGTTCTTTTAAGAAAGATGAAAAGAAATTAACCGTTAGCCGTAGATTGGCCAAAATTTTAACTGTAAAAAAATTTTAGCCGCAAAGCCATTACAAGAACCTCTTAGAGATCCTCTTAATAGTGCTTGAAGCGACATATGGGTGGCTCCATTCCATATTTATAATGAATCAGAAATTGGACATCTTCATTCTTACGAAAATTCAAACCTTGAAGGGAATATACCGAAAGATTAAATCCAATAAAACATGTTAGTGAACACGTCTTGAGGATTTACTAATTTTCTTAATTTCTTTCAAACGCAACGAAGTTGGACAAAAAGATTGCCAAAACAAACTGCGTCTGTGTATTTTCAAATAAATCATTGGCTTCGTGTATTTAAGAGGAAAAATAAGCAAAAACCTGGTCTCATTGTCGCGGAATCTTATTGATTAGATATTTCTGCGTTTAAGACAGAAATAAAAAGGTGAAATACACTATACGAAAAATTGGGTTCACTTGGGTTGCGAAGTAAGCAAACGTGTTGAAAATGTAGGGATATAAATTGGTGTAAACGTGCTGATTTGCATGTTCTTGCAGCTTTCATGTGCACATGTGATATAAACGTGACATTGTGCTCTTTGTGTCCTTCACCTTTGCAGATACTGCAAATTTTTAACAACGACATGAATCTGCACAAGCATTACCCCATTTGCAAAACCAGGCAAATAAAGTGCAATAGTAACCTTTTTATTCCCGTGTTTGGAAACTTTTTCGCAAGGGATGCAAATGTAAATATTTTCTGATAATTTGCTCTAAATTGATCTAAGAGCAAGAACTGATTTGCTAGAAATTTACAAGGATATGTAATAGAAGGCAAAATAATAAAATGCAAAACTTTTACAGGGTGTATTTGTTTCCTCCTACATTTGAAGTGATTACTTAAGGGAAGCGCGAACAACGTTTCTGTGACCAAGGAATGTTGACTACTGAAATGCTTGAAATGTGACTCTAAGAAAAGTCGACCTTTTCGCTTTTAACCATCATAGTCGCTCCTTGATGAGGAAACGTTATGGCGTTAGTAAAAGGAACAATTTAATTCGACCGGATTTAAGTCCTTTGTTCTTCTCTCTTTTTTGACCCCAATCTAAGCTTTGTTTGATTCAAACATTCTCAGTCTATTAAACTCTTTCAGCTTTCTTTTGCAAGCCTAATGGTCCTAAACACCCACTGAGCTTCGAATCCTTCTCTGTTTTCAACGTGCGTGCTTTCGAAGACTGTTTCAACACGAAAACAAAACCCAATTAAGCTCTTGTCAATGACAAACAAAAGTTTAGATAAGTATTTTACACCAAAGAATGTTAGACACATGAGAAATATCAATTTCTTTGTTTATCCACCTGTGGAATGTTGTTTCAAAAGCACTTCATCTTGTTGATATCTGTTTCTTTTATTGATCTCTTGAAGCGTGACCTCGCAGCCCGCGTGGGCGGCGGGGGGGGGAGGGAAGGGCATACTTCTAATGCAAACTTATTGTTAAACAATAGCGCGAAATACGGTGACAACTTTTTGACTGTAAATCTTCCCATTTTTAAATCCTGTAGAAAATGCTCATCAGACAATTTTATTTTGACAAATTTGCAGTATGAAAATTATTTGAATGTTTTCGTTTTTGTTTTTTTCTTTCTTCCTTTTGGGTGGCATTCAGAGGCATTGCACAATAATATATTTCCTGCTACATCCCACCGGGTGGACATTGCGAAAGATTAGATTGACAAACGGAAACTCGGATGCTAACAGTAAAGACAAAAGCGTCAGCATACCCGCCTAAATGACTCATGATTATAGAGGAAAAGTTTAACTTAGTACGCGCGCACTCAGTGGCTAATAGGTGCGTTTTAATTGAGACGTCATGCTTTCTTTATCAAATTTTGTCGCACCATATTTGAGTCGTGAAAGAACAAACAAAGAAACAACAAGAAAAAAAAAACAAAAAACAAATTCCTAGGATTCAAATTGAACGTCCTCATTTACATCACAATTGTGCAATAGCATCACCTGTCGACATTCCTATTCTCCTATCCTTGTCTCCATGGACCAAGATAAACGACTCAGCCTGCCACGAGTCTCCAATAGTTGAGTGGTACAGCAACCCGCAAAGGCGATCAGACCGAAAGGTTCAATCCAAAAAACACGACAGTCAAGATTTATCGAAGATTACTTAAACCCTCCTAATTTCTCTCAAAATTAAAGAAGTTAGGCGATAAAAAACGAAAACAAAGTGCTTCTAAGCATTTTAAACAAAAGCATTGACTTTGTATTTTAGAGATTTTTGATCAATTTGCAGTTTCATCAGATGTTAGAACAGTGCACAGACAATTAGGGGTCAAAGTATGTACATTTCCTTGCCATACCGTGACCGAAATCAAATTTTAATCCTTCTTTATCCAGGCTTTCACTGATAATTCATAAGAGATTACAAATAGCGTTTTCCGTTCGCATCTATCCTAGTTTGGGACACGTGTGTTTTTTTCTTTTGTTATGTTTCGTTTTGTTTTGGTTTTAATTTATTTCTATCAACAAAATATGCAAAATAAAGTACTTGTGAAGTTGTTAAGGTTCCCAACTTACACCTCCATACCGTACGCAAGAAGCTTCACTGGCAAATATGGAAATGAATAATAATTGTAGGCTTGGAAATCCTCGAGTGTAGTAGGTTTGCGACCTGCTGGGTTACCATGGCAACACTACTGTCTGGCTATTGACGTAAAAGCATCAATAATGAACAACAGTCTTTATTTCTTCACACGTTAAAACTCACATATCCCAAAGTTACATAGTTTGATATAATCTTAAATCGCTTTTTTGATAGTTCTAAGATAGTGAAGCTTAAAAAATCACCAGGAAACGTAAAACCTGTAGAAATAAGTAAAAACATTCGGGAACTCCAGCTAGTAGCTTGGAACGTTCCATAGATATAAATTCTTCTGAATTAATTTCAATGTGATGAAAATATTCTTTTCTAAAATTGCATTTAGTCAACTATATATGGTTGAGTGTATAATTTGGTCATTCCTTCTAATCTGAATATTATAAGTATTTTAAAATCTAGAATTAAAAGTCGTTGAAAATGATACACGTTTTGTTTCTTGTCGTGCAAATTACTTCTTAACGTTTCAAAACGGCATCGATTGGTCCGAATGTATTTCTTTGTCAGATTTTAAAAAACTTGAATTCACAGATGTTTTGGTTTAATTTCGACAGCCAGCAAACTATTTTTTTTTAATTACAGCGTTTTCAAATCAGCAATGAAGAGTACGAAAAAAGAATTAAAATCACCATGCATGCAGATTACTGCACTTGATGCCTGGTCGCTGGGGAAACAGTTAACGATGGTATTTCCCCGGTGGAATTCATTCAGATTCAAGGAAGGCCACTCAATCATTAATCACAATTGTATTAAAAGCGAAGTCGATCGATCAGAGGACGCAGAAATCACTATTTCCACGAACACTTTGCAGTCAGAAAGTTTTAAAAAAAATCCACTGGTCTAATTTTCATTTCAGTTGATGTGGGGGCGCTGCGCTCGGGCTTGTTTGGATCTAATTTTCTCCAATGGATATCGGCCCAGGTTTCCTTTCGACAACGCGGATAAATTCCGTTGAGATTCGACGAAACAGCACAATCACTACTGCTGCCATACCACCAGCCTCCGCCTCTTTTTAGAGTACAATTAGCAGGATCTCTATCCCAGGTACCAAAAATGAGATCTTTGTGGGGATTGAGGGAATCAGAGGAAACAGTTGCATCTGTTAAAGAAAAAATTAAAAAAACAAAAATTCCATAATATTAGGATTAAGATAACACTTTTGACACCTCAAACTCGATAGCTACTAATCGACGAAGTAGGGCAGGTATCGAAATACAAAAATATCGGACAAAATAATAATACTCAAATTTTATTATTTTGCTAAAGCCGAGTTCAATGAATTTTCTATCTCAAGCAACTTCGAAAACAAACTGTCCACGGAGTAGCATGTATGGGCAGAATTAACAACAAAATACTGTCGAACGGGTATACGCTAGAACGAACCATTATTTGCAGGTCACGTGGGGTTAGGGGAAAGGGATTGGATAAAAAAATCAGTTTTTCATAGGATTCAAGCTGTCACTAACTTGTTATACTTCGCTAAATTTGCAAAATTTGAAGTGGACAAAGATCAGTTTAAGCAGCATCTCTGAAGAAACAAATTTTAAATCGATTTTATCAAAACAGCTTTTAAGCTTTGGTGTGTATGGGGCAGAAGACGTGGATAGGGAAAGTAACACATAAAAATCCAAAGGTGAATGTTTAAAAAGACTTTAGGTTTACTTACTTGTCATATTGCCAATGTACAGCCGGTAGTCAGCCGTCTCTTTCCCAATCCCAAACCATTCATACTCAGCGTGAACAGTTTGGCGCGTAGTTACCCCCAGATCTATTCGAAGCATATTCTTTGTTTTGTTTTGTGTCAGACGGTTTACCTTGTCCAGTCCAAGCCAAAATTCACCGACCAAGTTACCGAAGCCATGTTTGTAGTCATTCCAGGTGCGATTAAAATCAACAGAGCCATCCATTCTCTTCTGGAAGACTGTCCATCCCCCACCAGAAGTGGTTTGATCACAATATACACTAAAGGCGCCTAAGCCATCTGGGTCGATTGTGTAAACACCGCTGATCCTTTGACCGGAATGGTAGAGCTCAACACAGTTCTTAGCTGTTGATGAAATACAAGGGGAATATATGCGAAATAACAGTTAGTGTACTCTTGAAAAATAACAATAAAAATTGAAATGAATAAATGTTAATAAAGTTAGTAACACACATGAACGAAGAGGAATCGTGCTTACGTCTCGCCAATGTTTTGTTCTCCGTGAGAATCTTAACCTCAAATCGAACTTGGGTGACTTCCTTCATTATTTCTTCCAAACAGACTGCAGTGTTCTTTTGGCAATCAATCGGAAATGCCCGCGTTGATGGTGGAATTTGATAAGTCACAAAAAGTGCCAGAATAAGCAGATAAGAACCTAAAGGAAATAAATTTTATTATATGGTGTAAGTTTACTGCTTAGGGTAGATCCAGGATTATTAAGGGTGGTCGGATTAATTGGTTTTTTTTCCGGGAGGAGATAGACTCCCCCCCCCCGATTTTTCGTGGTTTTCACCATGGAAATCGCTTCAAAATAGGTAAAATGTATGAAGCTCTCACTGCAATGGTATTAAAAAAATTACTCTGAGGGTTTGCACATATATTTTTCCATCCTTAGTTAATGTTCGCTACAAGTATCAGTCAATTGGATTGTCGGCTTGTCAATCAACAGAGGCCAAGAAACGACTGTGTTTTTAGACTTTTCGATTCCTCCAAATATTTGACAACTTTGAGGTCAAATATCTCCCCTTGCCAGAAAGCTACAACACTAATCTTGATTCCCCTTTATAACCCATCATTTCATCTCTGAAAATCATCAAAAATCTTAGGTCACTACTGTATTTTTGTCTTGGATGCCTTTTAAAATATGCGACTGTGACAAGTTTCTCTCGACTACACCTGTCACGCAGTTCTTGCTCTAGGTTGTCACTTGAACAAATAAACCTCCATTTCTTAGCTCTTTATACAAGATGATTGATCAAGAAAGGTAAAAAATGTGAAAAACTTTCGAGATTTTCTGTAGGGATGGAAAATTCCACGTTTAGAGAGATGCATGTGGGCGAAAAATCGAAGGGAAAATCGTAGCGTTTCTTCCTTCATTGGAAGGTTAAATCTTGAAATTTCTTTCGATGGTCTCGGGATCCTTTCCGTGCTCGTCCTTTACGTGATTGCCGAGTTTTGATTACTTATGTCCCTCCACATGTTGATGAAAGTGTTGGCTCATACAAAAGCTTTTTTTTGACATTCATATTCTCGATGGAAAAACATCCAGTTCGAGGAGACTTTAAATGCAAGGTTTAATATTATCCTCAGCAGAGACAGTTTGTACTTTTCGTTAACATGGCTTTGGTAATGCGGTAAAAGTCCAGTATCAATTGGTTTCGCGTAGACCTTCGTTTCTGGTCGGGGACTTTTCCCGTTAATCATCATTCCAAGATGTTTCATCTGCCTCTGTTTTCTGGTCAACACTAAATGAAATCCACCCTCACTCAGTTTCACAATGGAACTTGATAACAACGACAGACTTCTCTTTCTTGGAATAATGATTATCAGAAACAGTCCCTGACTGTCAGGTCATTGAACAGAAGTCAATAAACGGTGGTTTGACATTATATTCTCGACTTGAAATAAAACTGGAAAATTACATGAGTCAAAAAATACATAAAGTAAAAGTACTGAGTGGCTGCTCACGCTTCTCGTCATATGACTGGAAGTGGTCAAGGGTCACTAGCCGGAAGCGATCATTACACCGACCAGACACGAAGGTCTGCGCGAAACCAAATGATACTGGAATTTCACCGCGTTACCAAAGCCATGATAAAAAAGCCATATACTCTCATGATACTTGATAATAACATGCCTATTCCTTGTTGAGAACATCTCATTGTCATGATTTGGGTGTAACTCTTTAGATGTATGCAGCACGCATATGCGACCAAAAAGAAAATGAGAAACTACAAGGAAAAGGTGGTGGCAAGTTTTATAAACTGATAGGACTTTACCTTCATGTGTTTCTTATTACCTGACAAGTAGGTGGACCTATTTTCTCTGCCAATAATCTCTTGTCTCGGCACAATATTTCCCTTACTGTCAGAGACATCACTACTTGCGTCGTGACGGTTTTGACATCATCTCAGATCTTTCGCAACACTCGCCAAAAATTTTAAGTAAAAATATTAAGGCAATAGAGAAAAATTGTAAAGTTTGATTTTTTGGTAAGAAACAAGCCGATCTTGAGAGTTTGGAGATGGGATTATAAAGAACACAGTGGAAAACAAAGTAATAGAGAATCACCAGCGTTAAGGTTCGACTGTGTTAGATGAAAGGAACGCGATTTATCTAAACCAGCATCCAAAACCGCTATGAAACGACTGCACTTCAACTTCTGTCGACTGTTATTGATGATATATAGAAGGCCTCTCGAGAATTCTCGCATGTTGCAAAATTAAGTTATACATGCAAACCCCATGGTATAAACGTTGCTACAACTGTTTGCCTCTTTAAATTGAAGAGTTCTAGTATTAAATGACATACTTGTTTCTCAAAAAGTCCTATATTTGGAAAAAAAATGACCACAGTGTTTGCGGAAGTTTATATGCACTGCAAATTGTTTACCAAACAGCCGGTATTACATACCTATTCCTTGTTGAGAACGTCTCATCGTAATGATTTGGGCGTAACTCTTTGGATGTATGCAGCACGCATATGCGACCACAAAGACAATGAGAAACTATACAGAAATTGTGGCGGCAAGCTTTATAAACTGATAGGACTTTGCCCTTTTGTGTTTCTTATTACCTGACGGTTAGATGGACCTTTTTTCTCTGCCAATAATCTCTTGTCTCAGCATAATACTTCCCTTACTGTCAGAGACATCACTACTTGTAATAATCTAATTTTATGAATGACCGTCACGAGATATCTCTTAAAATTTTATTGTGAGAAACCTAAGAGAGTGCACGTGACGGTTTTGATCTGAGATCTTTCACAACCCTCGCCAAAAAAATTTCAAGTAAAAACATTAAGGCAATAGGGAAAAATGCAAAGTTTTATTTTATGTTTGGCAATCATAATCCCCCTGAGCCCGACGACAAAGAAAAAGAAGACATTACTTCATCGCTATTTCTGCCCCGATGATCGTGAGCTGGACGCTATCTTGGTGGGAACTCCAGTGAACTGCGTCTCGGGTGTTCATAACTTATCAAATTCTTCCAACCCTTCTAGAGTAAGATGAGGCTAAGTAAACACCGATGAAGTTCTTTATTGCGCATTTGTCCAAGCAGGGCCTTATATGTTACACGATCTCAGAGGCTTTTCTTCTTAAATTTTTCCACCAGCGATTGTTTCGGGAAGAATATCTTTCCATTCAAGCTAGGAGGTGCAGAGTGTTCTGCCATATGCGAATAACGCATGTATCTTCCGCTAAATAACTAAAAATTTATTTATTTGCATTCGTGCTCCTCTCTAATTACCATTATGATGGAGATATGAAAACACAGCCACCGTGGCTGGCTGTTAACCGATCCAATTATGAAAAGCAACAAATGATTTATTTTTATCTTCATTTTTTATTTTTATTCCTTTATTTATTTATTTATTTATTTATTTATTTTATGGCTTAGGTTCCAATGTGACCAATCCCGCTGATGGGGGGTTTTTAGCTTTTGCAGTTAGAATGAGTTTACAGGCAGTGAAAAGTTTTAGAATTTCCTTACTTTCAACCTTGTTCTGTTGCATGCGATCATCTTTTGCATTTACCACCCTGATAATGAATTGTTTCAGTTGCGCGCGTGCTCTCCTTAGATGACTTACCTGACTTTATCCGGTATCGTGAAAACTCGACGACGGATTCATTTACATTATTCAATTAAGCCACACAATAGTGACATAAAACTGTTATTTAGAACGATTTACAATCTGCAAATCACCTTAAAAAGCATATCTTCACGTATCCGCCATTAAGAAGACGCTGTAAGCTCTTTGAGGACCTATTTGATTTCAGTGAGATGTCCTTCGTTAATTTCTCTTTAAAAAGGCTTACACTGTAAAATTAAAAGAGTTGATTTGGCCCCAAAAATGGAGCCAAAACGAGTGAGTCCAGTTTGGCACTCGCTTAGGGTCAATTCGGCCCCATTGAAATGGGGCTGTTTTTGGCACCAATTTTGGGGCTGAATTGACCCCGTTGTGGGGGCCAAATTGGACCATGTGAAGGGTGAATTTGAAAAATACAGGGGCCACTTTGAAATTTATAGGGGCCAAAACAGCCCCCGAAATTTCAGCCCTCTCACAAATGGCCCCTTTAAAAAGAGCCAATTCAGCTCCAATGTGGGCCACTTCAGAAGTAGAGGGCTCTTTCCTCTCCATGCTGATTTTCCCCCTTACATTCAAATAACGAAAATACACCACATACTTTATCTTTCAAACACTCATTTATTAGGTTCTAGATATTGTTTATGTAAAAACCTTTTATGCTACCTGATTTTACAGTTATTTAGAATCTTAATTGTGGTATAAAACATACAAACTTTGAAACATCATGTGAAAGAATATAACATACATACATATTTAACATTAATTCAACCATTTTCTAAAATAGATCTCTTCCCTAAATCAGTATACTTATTAACAGTGCAAGCATTGCAAGAAATTACACCCAAGAGACACTTGTGAGTAAAGCTTCCCTTTTCAATAACTTAGCAAATGTGGTAATGTAAAGCAGCTTATAATTAAGACTGATTTAAAGCACAGAAAATTATCAAAATAAGACAGAGGCAACAAATGGTCCAGTTCCTGCACAAGAATATAGATCTTGTTTGATTTGTGCATATGAAAAACAAAGAGCCTTAGAGCAGCAAAGAGTATTCTTCCAGTGGATGTGAGAATACATGCACTCATATTGCTACTTTAGATATTATCAAAATATAAACTATCAGCAAGTACTACCGCAGGCATTTGCCAAGTCATTGAAAATAGAGGAAACAGTAACAAGAGCCTGCCTGTGCCCAATTTCAAGCAATGCTTGCTCTAAAAAAAGTCAAAATTGCCTTTGACCGATTGTAAGAAAATATAAATGAGCCAAGTAACCCAATGAGAGCATCAAGAATCTTTTCTTGTGAGAAGTGACAAATTTCACTTCCCTCTGTTACTATATTCAGGTGATTGATGTATTGAAGATCTCCAACAATTAAAATTTGTGCTGGACATAATCTCTGATTGCTGAATCAACATCAGCTACTCTATGCAATAAAAACAAGTTTTACAACAACATTAAAATCAAGGCAAAGTGCAAAAAGTGCCTGTAGCCAGAAAAAAAAGAATATATATATACACACTTAAGTTAAAGAATTAAAGAGGACGCATCAATTCTCTGTGACTGAGT